AAATCATATGCTTTAAAAAATAAATTATCAAAATATTTATGAAAATTTTTTTTTTTCCAAAATAAAGGATTAAATTTATCATTATTCAAAAGATCATATTTTTCATCTTTGTCTAACTCAGGATCTTTTAACGCTTTTAGAATTTTTTCTTTGATTTTATTAGTTCTAAATAAAAAAAAATATTATTTATTTTGTTTCTTTTTTAATTACTATTAATAGAACTTACGTTTCAGTATTTTCAGGAAATCTTGATTTCTTTTTTGCGATTTCATCAATTTTTTTTAAATTTTCTATATCTGTAAGTTTTTTTCTTTGAATGTTCTTTAACACGTTTGTTTCTTCTTCGATTCCAATACCTTTAACCTTTTCATTTAATTTATTGATCACTTCTTCGGATTTATCAGTTACTGTTTTTTCACATCATCATCGATGTTGGCATCTTCGAGTGCCTTCTTCAAGATTTCAGGTACTTTTTCAGTTATAACATTAGCTGCATTATTTTTTACATTATCAAACAATTTGAGCAAGCCTTCGTAATTTTCTTTTGCCTCTTTGATTTCATTTTCTTAATCTTGTAATAATTGTTTAATACGTGTAGTTTCTTTATTGATTATTTTTTTATTATCACTCATTTTTTTATTCGTAAGAAAATAAACAAAATTTCATGTATAAATAAATAAAAAATTTTTAAAATAATAATATAAAATAAATTACATAAATAAAAAATTTTTACAATAATATAATAAAAATATTTTAGATTAATAATAGTAAATTAATCATTTCTAAACGTTGCTTGTTTTTCATCAATATATAATTGTATATCTTCTATATTTTTTATAAATTTAATAAAAGTTTTTTGTCTCCAATTTTTATTATTAAGAGTGAAACCACTATTCATATTAAGAAAATGGAGAAATACTTAGAAATTAATAATTTTTTTATATATTATAACGAAAAGTTTGTTATATTTTTATATTAGATTTTTATTTATTTATATTTTATATATTTATGTATACTTAAAATAAAATACTACGTATAAAATATAATTGTATTATATATTATTTTAAAAAATTTTATTTATTTATACGTAAAATTTTCTTTATTGATTTTTTACGAATAAAAAAAATGAGCAGTGATAAAAAAACAATCGATGAAGAAACTACACGTATCAAACAATTATTACAAGATCAAGAAAAAGAAATCAAAGAGGCAAAGGACAATTATGAAAAGTTGCTCGACTTATTTGATAATGTGAAAAAAAATGTAGCTGATGTTATAAAAGATAACTTACCTGAAATCTTGAAGAAGGCACTCGAAGATGCCAACATCGATGATGATGTGAAAGATACTGTAATTGAAAAATCCGGAGAAGTGATCACTAAATTAAACGAAAAGGTTAAAGGTATTGGAGTAGAAGAAGAAACAAACGTGTTAAAGAACATTCAAAGAACTAAATCTACAAACACAGAAATTCCAGAAAACATTGAAGAAATCGTAAAAAAGAAATCATTTGATCCTAGTGATACTGAATTGTAAGTTTTATTTTTATTGATAATTTTAAAATAAATAAAAAAATAAATATATTCTTTTATTTAGAGTCAATAAAATCAAAGATAAAATTTTAGAAGCATTAAGAGATCATGAATTAGATAAAGATGAGAAAAAAGATCTTTTGAATAATGACAAATTTAATCCTATATTTTGGAGAGAAAAAAATTTCAACAAACATTTTGGAGGTAGAGGTTATCGTATTAAAAAACATGATAAACCATTTAAAGAAGAATCAAAAGAAGAAATTAAAGAAACAGAGGAAATTAAAGAAACAGAAGAAGAAAAAATAGATAAAGAAATTGCTATAAAAAAATTCAAAGAAAAAATTCAAGAAGCGTTAAAAGATTCTGATTATGACCAACAAGAAAAAAAGGAACTCGAAAATTTTTATAATTATAATGGTAAAGATGACTACATTATTGTTCCACATTTGTGGAGTAGAAAAAATTATGATAAATTTATGAATAGTATAGAAGGTTTACAAATACCTTTTTTTGAACTTAAAACAGCTTTTAAAGATATTATTAACGTTAATACACCAATTTTTCCTGAGTAAATCTTATTCTAAAATAATTTATATTATTATAAATAAAATACTATAAAAATACAAGCAGATTTTATTCTGTTCAAAAAAAAATGTCATATTCTGTTAAACAAAAAGTTGAGTTAGCAGCTGAAGCTGCACGCCTTGCACAACTTTTAGAAGACCAAGAAAGAGAACTCGATGTATGGAAAGACGTTTATAACAAATTATTTGATAAAATAGGAAAAGTTAAAGATGATATAACTAAAGCTGTAGAAGAAAATCTACCTACTATCTTAAACGACGCACTCAAAGAAGCTAAAATTGGTGATGATATTAAAAAAACAATAATTGATGAAACAGCTAAAGTTATTAGTGAGATTGATAAAAATCAAGAATATGATGATTTACAAAAACAAATCGATGATTTAAAAAATACTAAAAGAGGTTGAAATTATTAATATAGTTTAAATTTTTTTATATGTATTTATTATATTTAAAATATTTTACATGTATTTTTTTTATATATTATAATTTTTTTTTTCTATATAATAAATAAAATTTCAATCGTTTTTATTTTTTTTTTAAAAAAAATGGCAACTAGAGCTCGTGTATTATTAACAAACTGGAACAAAAGATATGGTAGTGTTGTTCAAATACAACAGAATATTAATAGAAGTATTAATCATTATAATACACAAGGAAGATTTCAAAAAAACCACACACAACAATTAATTAAAATAAACAATTTACGTAGAGATCTTGCTAATGCTAAAAAAGAAGCAAAAGAAGCTAAACAAAAATATCTTGAAGAAAAGGAGAAACTAGAAAAAGAGAAAAAACTTCATACTGAGACAAAAAAAGAACTAGAAGATGCTGAAGAAGAAAATAAAAAACTTAAAAATGAAAACAAAAAAGAAAAAGAAAAAAATAAAGAACTTGAAGAAGAAAATAGAAGATTAGAAAAAACTATCGAAGATCTTAAAAAAAATCACAAGATTGAAATTGAAGAACTAAAAGAAAAAATCAAAGATAAAGATGATGAGATTAATGATCTGAAAAGGGAATGTGATAGGTATAAAAAAATGTACGAATCACAAAAAAAAGTTGCTGAAAAATTAGAAGATGATAAAATAGAACTAAACAAACTCATTGAGGATTGTAAGAAAAATCATGTGAATTATGATTCAATAAAAGGTGAATTAGAAACTGTTAAAAAAGATAAAGAAAAATTAGAAAAGGAAAATGATGAATTAAAAAGTAAAATGGAAGAAAAAGAAAAAAAGATTAATGAGATTAATGATAACGTTAAAAAAATTTTTAATATAGTTAAAAAATTACCTCCATCATTAGTACGTGAGATAGTTAAGGAATTAGATAAAAATAAACATGAAACAACTGATATCAGTGACCAAATAAAAAACTTGCAGCAAATATCCAGACAAAAAGCTTAAACTTTATTTTATTTTTTTTTATTTATGTTATTTATATTGTTATTTATATTGTTATTTATATTGTTATTTATATTATTTACAAATAAAAATATATTTTTATACAGTAAAATTACGTATTTGTTAATCTGATATAATATAAAAAAATATGAATTGTAAAAAAAAAAAACAATTAATCTATTTTGGAGGAGGCTTTAAATCTAATTCAGGTTCAAGTTTTAACTTAGGAGGTACATTTTTACGTTTGGGCTGAATATCATTATATTGGAGTTTGGAAGCATCTTTGCATTTTAGATAAAGTATTTCAGCATCTTTTTCTTGTTTCTTCATATTATCATAGTGTTTATGATAAGCTTTTACTTGTTTTACAAGTTTATAAGGTTTAGCATGAGTGTATTTTGATAATTCAATATTTTTTTCATTCCATTGTTTTAATGCTGAGCTTGTATTTCTTTTAGCTTTTTGCCAGTTATCGTACAGAATTTGTAATGACATTGATAATAGATTATTTTTTAATTAAAAAAGAATTTTTTTTTTTAACTAAAACGAATACCTATTTATTTTTACAAAATTTATAGTTACATTCAGAAAATCAGGATTGTTAATTGCATTTAATTTTTTTTGATTTAGCTTAATTCAAAATTTAATAATTCTTAATTTAGCTTAATTCAAATAATAAAAAAAATTACGATTGTTTATTTTTTGAATCTTATCTTTATTATGTAAGTAGTTACATAAAATTATGTAATTTTTTATCGATAAATTTTTTATATATAAAATACAAGTTTAGATAAGAAATAAGGTTCAAAAGTTAAAATCAGAATGATCTGTGAGTAACTTTTTTTTGTTGTGCTTATCAATAAAAAAATTAAAGTATTTTTTTTTTAGGTAATTGCAATAAGTACGATTGTCCAGTTTGCCCAGGTTGGGGTCCAGAACCAACAAGAAAAAAAGAATGGAACCTAGAATGTTTTTGGTGTAAAAAATACGTTAGACAATGCACCTGTGGTTTCAAAAATTGGAATTGGAATGAAATAACTTACTGTAAAATATGTAAGAAGAACAATCATGATACGCAAAATTGTAGGTTCAAACAAAAACAAAGATATTGTAATATCTGTAACAAATATAATCATTACTATTCTGATTGTTGGTTCAACAAATACAACATCAATAAATAAATAAAATTTTATATTACTCTTTTCATCTTTAAATAATTTAGAATGTTCGAATTTTTTATCTTCTTATTTAGATTTGGAATATTCAAATTCTTTGTTTTGATAATAAGATATAAAACGTAAAAAGAATTTTTTATAAAGATAAAAATATACACTAAGAATTATAATACTAATAATAATATTTATTGTGATAGCACAGATCCAAAAAATATCTAACTTTATGTTTTTTGTAATTTTATTGTTATGATAAAAATCAACGAGAAAAAAACTAGGTAAACAAATTAAAATTAAATTAATCAAAATAAAACAAAAGTAATTCATATTTATAAATTCGTAATAATAAATATTTAATGTATTTATTTAAAAAAAAAATTAAAAAAATTTTTATACTAGATAATTATTTCAAATTCTGTTTTGATTCTTAGATTAATTAGAATATTTGAATTTATTATTTGTTTTAATTTGGAATAGTTTAGAATACAGTTTTTAAAAAAAAATATCCAAAATATATGCTCATAATAAAAACAAAAGAAATCATTGTGTTTAAATGATTTACAGTATCTCTGAAAAACAAAATATATATTTATAATTATTTTTAATTAGTAATCATAAAATCAATTTATCTTTATTAACTTTTTTTAACGTAATCTTTAATTTATCTAAATTAGTATTTATTGATTCTTATCAATAGAATCTAGATCTAATATTCTTTTGATTTCTGTTATACCAACTTTGATAAGTAAAAGAATTTATTTGTGTTAATTGATATGAAAGATTAAAGATTAAATGTTAGAGAATGATATAGAAAAAAAATTCATTATAAAACAGAAAAATTTTGTCTCTTGTTCATTACGATTTACTCGTTTTACAACTTCAAAACCTTAAAATCTTTCAAATCAAAACTTAAAACTACTTTAACTTCTTTAAATCTTTATCAATAAAATCTATAAAAAATGATTTCAAAAGTCGTTATTATCATTGTTATTGCTCTTGCTTTTTTGGGTTTGTTTTTAACAAACCTCTCTGTTGGTGAATATGATTCTTATATTAACCAATTTATTCTTAAAATTATTAAATCCAAAACTTTTTTTTGGGTTTGTGCAATTACAATATATATTCTTATTAATGTAATTGCAATTAAAGTTGTAATTTCAGTAATATATAATCATTACTGGAGTTTTTTATATGAACATTTTCCAGAGCGTGTCATATATTAAAGGTAAATAATATTTTATTAAATATAA